GTATTTATTTATTTATTTATTTTTATTTATTGTATTTATTGTATTTATTTATTGGTATTTATTTATTTATTGTATTAGTTTTATTTATTTATTTAGTTATTTATTTATTTATTTATTTTATGTTATTTATTATTTATTTATTTATTGGTATTTATGTTATTATTTATTTATTGTATTTTATTTATTTATTTATTTATTATATTTATTTATTATTTATTTTATTTATTTATTTATTTATTGTATTATTTATTTATTATTTATTAATTATTTATTTATGTTATTTATTTGATTATTTATGTTTAATTAATATGATTTAACTTTACGGTCAAAAAACCAGTTAAAAGCTGGTGTGGGCCGTACTATGGGAAATGTTGAATTTTCCGAAGTAACATTACGTCGAGGAAAGCAAAACAATGGGGCCATCTCAGCATTGGCTTAAAGGGATCCAGTCGGATAGTTGGGACGAAAACGCTGATACGAGAAGTCATTGACCCAGAAAAAAAAGCCTTGAAAGATACGCAATACTTGTTACAGGTTCTTTCAGAATTAACGATTCCAGAATGGTAACAAATTACAAGTTAGAATGGGATTTTATTTATTGATTGAAACGTATTAGTGACGTGTATGTCTACATTAATGTATAGAACTGAGAAATATCGCATTTTAAATTATCGTCTAAGAGCGGTTTTAGCCGGCTAGCGTGTTTTGACAGAAAGGACGGACAGACGTTTTCGCTGTTCATAGATTTTTTCGTATTTAAGGGAAACATGGAATTCTGCCTACACCACGAGTTTAAAGTATTTTTTCTAGATAGAATAACAACTGGGAGTTTATGCATGTTTTGGTGTTGCAGTTTCTCCAATATTTTAGAGTTTTTTCTAGTCGAAAAAATCGCGGTTTTTGTTGCAAGCTTGGCATTAATTAATTTCTCTGTCAGTTTAAGCGGTAGCTTGAAAAGTGAAAAACGAATCTAATGTGGTTCCGTGCACCTCCCGCCAAGCGCCTCCGCGTACGAGGTCTCATGTCGGTCATGATGACTGAGCACGTGCTGTGTCGGCACTGGAGGCGAGGAAAAACTCGGCCGACCGGTGAGCGCGAAGGCGGGGTGTAGATTGGATTCGTTCAAATGGTGGGTACGTTGCGCAGGTTGAGGAAACCAGCACCACGGTTTTGCTTTTGGCCGGCCCGGTCGTTGCCTTACGGGGCAAACTCGCCGCTTTGAAAAAAAAAAAGGCCCGCCCCGGCGAAAGGTGGTCTTTTTTTCCCAAGGTTTTTGGGGGGGGGGGGGGGAAAAAAACCCCCCGGGGGCCCCCATCGCCGGCCCCGAACACGATGGCGAAAGTCCTTCCTGGCTGTTTCTATCCTCTCGGGGGGTGCGCACCTGCACGTCGAGGTAGGTCTCGGCGAGGATGGGCGGGCCGCCGTCGATGGGGGTGCCGCTGCCGTTGAAGGTGCGGCCCAGCATGTCCTCCGACACCGGCACGCGCAGGATGTCGCCCGTGAACTCCACCATGGTGTCCGTGTTGTCGATGCCCGACGTGCCCTCGAACACCTTTCGTTTCGCAACGAAACCCTCGGTAGACGGAAGCCGACGCTTGGGGTTTTATTTCTGGGCGCGCGAGGCCTTGTCTCCACGATGGAATACCTCACGTCATTTTGCGTCTTTTTTGGTCGTGTCGCTAGATGCCTCAGGACTGCTCGATACGGTCGCAATCATGCGGCATCTAGCGGCATGGCCGAGAAAGACGCAAAATGACGTGATATTCCATCGTGAAGACAGGCAGACGCGTTAAGAAATAACACCCCTAAGTATAGGCCTCTGCGTCCGGAGCCAGTAACTACTTGGCTGCCCGGAAGACACCGCCTCCTATGCACCGATGCCAACGGCGACAAGCCGCCACCTTCCTCAGGGCGAAATGCGCGGACATGGACTGCGCATTGCTTCACGAAGATCGAGGTATATAAACAGAGTCAGATTAATGAACCGCGGGGCCCCCATGTACATCACATAGGTGTCCGCTAAAAAACAAGAACAGCAACAAACAAAAAACGTGTCAAACGCGGAAAAGAAACCTTCCCTAAATGATTTGGGGACCATTTCGTACAAACAAACATTTTTCATCCAATCTCTGTGTAACGAAGAGTTAGCGACTTACATGTATCAAGAGATGGGCTCTCTGCTTAAAAACGGTCAGTCCTGCCCCCCCCCCACGTCAGAGCCCCCAAGAAAGTGCTTGATTTGCTTGTATGAAAACCCGGGTCAGTGTGTAAACCAAATCAGATACAATTAAAATGGGCCCAGGCGTTCTCGAGTCATACATGTGTGTCTGTTTCGTGTATTTAGACCTGAACGTTCCGTGCGATGTGTGTGTGTGTGGGGGGGCGGTCACCTGGACGACGGCGCGCGTGCCGGACACCTCCAGCACCTGCCCCGTGCGTCGCGTGCCGTCCCGGAGGCTGATGTTGACGATCTCCGCGTACTGCGGGAACTTCACCTGCTCCAGGATCACCAGCGGCCCGTTCACGCCGGCCACCTGCGCACCACCGCGCCAATCACCGGAATACGGCTCGTCCGTAAACGACGTGACGCTGAAGAGGGGACGGGGACTGAGATAGCGTTACACTGGAGAAGCGGGGGCACAGTATGGTATTATCTCTGTCAGTTCTTGGCGTGACAGGTCGCCAACGGGGCAGGGCCTACCAGCAGCGTCCCGGCCTCGCGGAAATGGGTTTAAGAGATACGAGTGGTTAGCACGAAGACTTCTCCACGCCGTGCTATGGTCTTCTCAATCTGAGAAGTGAGTTTTCTTATCGTCACGCAGCAACGCGAACTGGGGCATTGCAAGGAAAACGCACCCTATAGTATTCACTCGACCGGTAATCGAACCCGGGGTTGCCTCATGGAAAGCGAGCACGCTGACTAATGACCAAACCGCGAGGGACTGATATTATGTAATTCTGATTTTTTTTAATTCTTCAACATTTTCTAAAATAATTCCTTTTATTAAATTTTATACTAAAGCATTAAAATATTAAAAATAAGAAATATAAATAAATTAAAAGGTATAATGTAAAAATTGCCACAATAAGTACAAATATTTTTTATCAATCATATATTGATTGAATCTGTGAGGATACGAAGAAAATATTCAAAACTGATATGTAGTATATTCCAGAATCCAATTAATGGTGTAGTAGACTCGGGGCTCAAGCATGATCCTCGGCGGCGTGTGAGCGAATTTCTTGCTTCCTTTAATAATTTTATTTAATCTATTAGTCCGCATTGCAGATAATTTTTATTTTAATTATCATAAATTTTAATAAACGCTAATAAAACTAACATCTCGATGTTGCAGATTTACAATTAATATTTATATATCGTTAATGAGATGTCTTGTCGCGAGGTGTCTTGTCACTAATTATTTAGGACATTCAAGCGCTTTACAGGGGGAGAGAGTGTACTCTAAATTTATTTTACGTAATTTATGGACGGCTTCTTGCCGAGATATCTAACCAAGATACGTAAAATGATATTGCTATGGAGATTAAAGAGTTTTAGGGACAGGATTTATCAACTTTGTATTGGTTACCTGTTAATCGTGTTTAAAATTAACATTAATATCTTCAAAAAAAAAAATGATTAACTGAGCATCGTGAAATTTTCTTTCACAAATCGAACGATAACGGAATGGAATAGATTGTCTGCAAAAACCTCCGAACCCTTTCATTGAAGCATTCAACAGTTTAGAAAATTAATTTAGGGTATTATTAAGTAAATGAACTTAACAAAGGACAGTAGCTTATATAGCGATGCATAAGTGTTATACTGTGAAGGGAGGTATCGTGCAGTACAGAGCAGAGAAATAACGGAGGAAGCCATTTAAGTGTCGTAGTGAAGTGAAGTGCAGTACAATGTGGTCTTGATTGAACATACATCAGTGGGGAGCTTGAGGACAGAAGTTTCTTTTTCTTAATGTAACTTAATGTTTTAAGAATCAGTGAGTTTTTATATTATTATTATTATTATTATTATTATTATTATTATTATTATTTTACTACTGTTTTAATTTTTGTACCATTATTCTTATATAATTGTTATGTTAGGTATATGACCTTATTTATGCAATAGCTGCCGTCGGGTCATACCCAATTGCAGTTTAAATAAATTTATATTATCTTATTATTTATTTTACAGAATACATTGCATTTGTTGTACTTGTTGGAAAAAAATTTAAAAATTAAATAAAGTTTGAGCGTTAGTGGGAGGCA